ATGCTGCAAAGCATGGCAATTAAAGTTTATAGTAATGAGAGTCTTCCTACTGTGCCAATGATTATGATTGCTGTAGGAAGAGAGATCATTTTAATATTTGTGGTTGTATCTCTCAATTATAGTGTGTCTATATTATGGGAGTTCTTTTCTGCATTGCTAGCACTGAAGATGATATTGACAACTACTGTTTTCTTGGGGATGAAGATGGGTTTCTGAGCATGAAAGGAACATTGGCATTTCTGTAAACATTGTTGTTTTTGTGTTTTTGGGGACTTAGGTTGATTATCAAGAAAAGCAATTTGCTCAAGGTGTGATTCCAAATACATTCATGCGGAGGGAGGGAGCTCCAAAAGAACGTGAGCTTTTATGTGGTCGACTCATTGATCGACCCATACGGCCACTCTTTCCTCCTGGATTTTACCATGAGGTCCAGGTATGATTCTGCTGGGTAGAGAATATCTAATAATTTTTTTTTTTTTTCACTTCCATTTCTTTTTGTTCCCATGTTTTGGTGACCATTGCAATGGTTTTTAGGTAATGGCAAGTGTTCTTTCTTCTGATGGGAAACAAGATCCAGATGTAATGGCAGCTAATGCTACATCTGCTGCTCTTATGTTATCAGATATTCCTTGGGGAGGGCCAATTGGAGTTATACGGATAGGGAGGATTTGTGGGCAATTTATTGTTAACCCATCCATGGATGAGGTAAGACAATGAGTTATGTCTGTCTTTTCTTTTCTAGTAAACAAGGTTATGTTTGTCTTTCAAAGTCAATTCACAAATTTAGTCCCTGTAGGGACAAAGTTTCAATTTGAATTAGCTATGAATAAATGTATACTCTTATATGTATCTATATGTGTGTATTTACACATTATTCTTAATTTACAGTATAGTTTGCTAGCTTTTTCATGTTCTGATTTGTACTTTTTGATTGGGTTTTAATGCAGCTTAGCTTAAGTGATCTTAACTTAGTGTATGCCTGTACAAGGGACAAAACAATGATGATGGATGTGCAATCTCGTGAGATCTCAGAAAAGGATCTAGAGGCTGCATTAAGAATGGCTCATCCGGAGGTTATTAGTGGAGTTGTGAATTTCATTGTCATAACTTATTATTAATGAAGTCTTCTAAGATCTTTTTACTTTGGCCATCCAGGCTGTTAAATACCTTGAACCTCAAATTAGACTTGCTGCCAAAGCTGGTAAACAGAAGAAGGAATATAAATTGTCCATGGTCACGGGTGCAACGTTGGAAAAAGTCAGTAACTTGGCTGCAGCACCTATTGAAGCCGTTTTTACTGATCCTTCATACGGAAAGGTTCATGTCGACTGTCCTTTTGCAGCAGAATTTTGACTTCTAAAAAATTTCTTTTTGCTGTGGATGTTCTCTTTATGGGTGCATGTGTATGCATGTCTGGTTAATGCATTTCATTAGTACATTATGAATCTTAAACCTTTTTAATTTTTGTGCATCCAGTTTGAACGTGGAGAGGCTCTTGATAAGATTGCACAAGAGGTGAAAAGAAAACTGGAAGAAGAATGTGATGAAGAAAGCCTGAGAGTTCTACCTAAGGCAGTAGACACAGTGAGGAAAAAGGTGATATGCATAACAAAAAACATAATAGGACTCCAGTAGGTTTATTTTTTTCTGGGATACTATTCCTTTCAGAGAGGAAAACTTTCTGGGATAATTCTTGATGATGACTGATTTTAGCAAAATCATTTCTTGTGCTTATTTCTTTACTCTTGTCCACCACTGTTAATTTGACCCTTAAAATGCTATTTTGGACTAAATTTTCCTATCTTGTAGAGTAACTTTTAGATTGATGTGTATTGTTATCTTGAACATCTTGAATGCGTTATTTTCGATCTTTTAGGGCCTTGAATGTATTGATTATCTATTAATTCTGCAAGCTATTCATTTATTTTTGCAGTATAATATGTTTCATAGTACTAAGAGCTATAGTTTGGAGACTGGATATGATATTTGAAATGATTGACTTTGGCTGAGCTTCAGATTGAGTGACTGAATTATCAACTAAAAGGCATCAGACTCTGTTATTTGTTTCAGACTTTATATCTACACTCTAAAGACAAAAAATTTATCAACTCTAATATGAATGTCAGGTAGTTCGAGAAAGGATAATTGCAGAAGGAGTTAGAGTTGATGGGAGACGTCTTGATGAGGTTAGGCCTATATATTGTGAAGCTGATCATTTACCTATATTACATGGATCGTCACTTTTTTCCCGTGGAGATACTCAGGTCAGTATGCCCCATTCGGCATAAAACTTCTCAAGAACAGAAATAAAAGTTTCCTCTATGTTTGGATGAGTTTTGCTGTGAGTCTGATTATTTGATATTTTATATAGGTTCTTTGTACTGTGACACTTGGTGCACCAGGAGATGCACAGCGCTTGGAGTCCCTTGTTGGTCCCTCAACGAAACGCTTCATGCTTCACTATAGTTTTCCTCCATTTTCTATTAATGAAGTTGCTAAACGAGTTGGCTTGAACAGGCGTGAAGTTGGGCATGGTAAACTAGTTTACCCTTATATGTTGTTGCATGACATAAATGCAATTTATAGTGATTGGATTCTATCAGTAAGTTGGCTTTTGCATGCACATCAAACTTGTGTAGCTGTTTCTTTTCTGATAACTAAAGTTATTATATTGTTATTGAGATATAGTTCAATATAAGTTGACTTACAATCTGTATGATGTGAAGGAGGTGGTAAGAAAGAAGGGAA